GAAGGAATTCTAACATGGATCATATACAGTAATGTTAAAGAAAATATGAAAGAAACAAAGGAAAAAAAATAAGAGTCCCTTTGTCAGCTGGATTGCTAGCTATCTGTCTGACCTTGGAAAAGTGTGGTTACCTCTCAAGCCCCAGTTTTCTCATCTGTGAAATGAGAGGGTTAGGGTGGGGTCAGAAATAGCCCTGGGATGTAGAATATGTCCATTTCCGAAGGAATAGTTCTAGGATATGCTACTTGCATTGCAGATGAAATATTGAGGAGTAAAAAGTGTGCAGAAGTTGGCAAAGCCTTATATATGTTTATACTTTCAGTGCATCAACTGGTTTCTCTCCCAACCCGAGGACAAGCTACTCTTTGTTCAACATCTGTTGTTTGTACTTTTAATTTTTTTCTTCAACAGTTTTTTAAAAACAGATTTAAGTGACTGCTATCATTAGTAGGTGACAAACTGTCTTGTAATAGAATATTAATTTAAGAACTGAGAAATAACATGAAAGATTAAAGTTTTTAAATAGACATAAGTGTTCAGAGTTGAAACTATATGATGTAGTTATTTGATTTATTGAGAACTACATGCACAAGGCTTTGCCAAGTCCTGCATGCTTTTTATTAAATATTTTCGTTGGCATAGCAAAAACCACAACCTTAAACTATCCCTTTGGAAGTAGTCATATGCCAAACTCTACAGCTGTAATTGGCCTTCTGTAATCTTACCTTCTCCTTTCATAGGTGAGAAACGGTTCTTTTTCTGTATAATGAGGTCAAAAACATTCAGTGTTCCATGGTGTTCTACAAAGAAGATCGTAACAGTCAGATCCTCTGTTCCTTGAGCTTATTTGCAGAGTCTCAAAAAGAACTGATTTTATTTCATTTTTCTAATGAGAAAACTGAAGTTTGGTAAACTGTAACTTGCCCAAGTTTACAGCTAGTTAATCGTGCTCACAGGGCTTAAATTCAGGCATCCTGAATCAGTTTCCGTATATGCCTTCCTAATTTCGACTTCTTGCCAAAACATCAGTTTCTGGCAAGGGGTGGAGTTTGCCTTATGCAGTGGTGTCCCCAGAACCTCAAACAGGGTGTGGCTCTGCAGGGAAGGTGGCCAGCCAGTGACCCCAGGGATTGTTTTCTCCCTCTCCTGATTCCAGTGGATAGCATTGTTCCTTCCATGTGCAGATTTCTGAGGATATCCAGACCCTTGGGAATTGAGACCTAAGACTGAGAAGGAAGACGGGGATTCCTTCCTTGCCATCCTGACTTGTCAGTTCCAGTTTTCTGTCTTATGATGTTTACTGGATAGCAGTTTACTGGAAGGGGTAGCACTGAAGGGAAAAGCAACCACTTCACATAAATTAATGATTCAGTTTCTAAGCTCTAAAAACGACAAACTTCTCAGTTCTCTACTCCCTTACTCTCCTAACTGTGTAAGTTTATGTGGTTTAATTGTCCAGAAAACTTACTATCCATCCACTCAATAACCTTTACCTCCCCCTAGCAATTTGACTTCCCTTCTTTGCATTTGGGAGCATGATTTCCCCAGTTGGGGAGAGTTTTGGAAAAGGCAGGAAGGCGAGCTTAGGGACTGAGAAATAATAAAGAACAATACAATAATCATAACAACTCATTATTTGTTTTTTTAAGCTTGATCTTTCAGAAGGTACAGTCTGGAGTTGAATACTAATAGATGCAAGCTCTCTGTATGCAGAAGAAATCTTAAACAGTAGTGGTCATGGGGAAGGACATTAATCAGGAGAGAGAAGTGAGCCTTGAGCCTAGTAATGTTTGCATAATAGCTACCCTTGCGTGTATTGCTTGACTTAAAAATAAATATGCACGCTTTCCATCTCCAGTACAATTGGAAATTATTTGTGGTTATGATTCTCTTACATGATTCTCTACCTGTTCATGGGGACTTTAAACCAGGAAGCTGCTGGAAACCAACAAACATAGCAGTGCTTCTGAATGAGTCTGGGGTAGGCATTTAAAGAGGCTATATAATGTGGGCAATCTGTAGAAAATGAGCAGAGAGCAGGTCATAACTCTCTTTCCAGGAGCGGAAGGGTATGATCAAACTGGCATGGTTGGCATTTATATGCTTTCCTGGCTTACTTTGAACTCTGCAATAGTTTCTCATCACCTGCAGGATAAACCCCAAGTGCCTTATCTTGACAGAAGAGGTGCTCACTGTGGCGGGGGGGGGGGGGAGTCCTTTGGTCTCTGAAGCATCTTATCTGAGACCACTCCTCACCTCAGGGAGGATAATCTACAGCGTTTTGCAGCTTCCCTTAGACATCACAACTTAACTTCCATGTCTTTGTTCAGGATCTTCCAAATCCTCTTTGTTCATTAATTCTGCTTACCATGAAGAGTTGGCTTAAACTTCACCTCCTCCAAGAAATCTTTGAACTCTACAGCTAGCCAGTAAGTTTTCCCCCAGCTTCTAATATTTTTCTCTCTTTTCTTTCTTTCCATCTTCCCTTTCTTCCCTTTTCCTTTCTTCTCTTCCTGGTTCTCCTTAAATAGACTTTGTCCTGGGGAATTTCTTTATTGTCTTGATTTATTGCTTGTATGCCCCAAATGTTATTACACAAGTGCTTTAAATTAATGAATTCATTTTTCTTCTTTTCTCTATTTCTCTTTTCTTTTTCTTTGGATTTCTGGGAAATGTTTTAATAAAATCTTGAAAAGAATAGGCTCTATAACTGTTTTTGAAGCTCTGTGTTATTTCAAGCCCTGCATGAACTGCCCCCCGACTCAGGCAATTGCCATAACCTTATTCCTATCCTAATATGGATATTCTACTTCAGTCAGGAGAACATCCTATAGTATAAAGATCTGAACTGATTTGTTCTTGCAGACTTGTGATTGGCTAATATTTTCTCCTGCTTCTCCCTCCCTGTCCCCTGATACAGGGTTTATATCGTAGGGTTAAGCAGCACCCACTGACTCCTTCATCCATGCCTCTTCTCTCATAGGTGCTGTGTTCACAAGATATGTCTCCTCGACTTCCCATACCAATTTTGCCCTTCCTTTCTAGGCTCCTTCTGCAGTGTCTATCCATATGTCTTCAGATACTTAAGTACAGTCGCAAAAGTACTGAAAATGACCCCTTCTGTTGACATATCTACTTATAAAGCTTTTGTTTTTTTGTTTGTTTGTTTTATCCTTACTATAGACAGATGAGAAGCTATTACTTTTATTTTACAAAAAAGAAAATTGGTTCACAATCATTGACTTGTTAAGCTTACAAGTCTCCTAAGTTAAGTTTAGAATTAGACTCTAATCCAGTGCCCTTTTGCAACACTATAAAGGCTTGATAACCTATAAAGACTACTTTCTTTCCTTTTCTCCAGGCGTCACAGAGCCTGGGGGAGCTCTGCCTGGGGAGCTCCCAGAGGGCACTGGACAGAGGACTGGACTGGACACTGACCTGCATTATGGCCGCGATTGGGCCACTACTGGCTCTGTGCCCCGAGACAGTCACTTTACTCTGAACTCCAGTGTCCTCATCTATAGCAAGAAGAGTGAGGCATGTGTTTTCTTTGGATTCTTCTGACATTAATTTCCTTTCTGTTTCTATCTCTCTCCCATCTGGCTCCTTTTCTCTCTCTGCCTTCAGTCAGTTCTGCAACTAATCGTTGCACATCAATACCGTACAGAGCATTGTGCTAGGAACCCTAGGGAGATGCTTGCAGCTCATTATGGAAAGGGAAACATTCTTTCCTCTTTCCCATTCTCCTCCTTTTTATGTCTGTCTTTCTGTCTGTGTCCTCCTCGAGTGCTCAAGTGGCCCTCCTTATTTCCATGGGTTTTCATGGTTTCTGCTGTGGTCAAGGGCAGGGCCTTCAGCCCTGGGCCAGTGAATGGGTTTAACCTGCCTGTGGTGCATCCAATCACTCGGGACTGGTAAGTACTCAGTATGAAAACCTGGAGGGCCTTGTCAGTGCTGCTCCAGGGCTCTGTGCATTTGGATGCACAACACAGCATTTTTGGCTAACTCTATGTGAGAGTAAATGAGAATAAAATGCCACTCTGAGAAATTTAAAAATTCAGTTACTCTCTTCTAAAATTCTATGCCATTCATGCCTTAAAATAATCTTTTTTTTTTTTTTTTTGAGTAGTTTTAGAATCTAGGTATTTATTTTTCTAAAGGGACCATTTCCAACCTAAGACAAATGTTCCCTTGGGGAATCATTGCTGTCATTAGATGCTCACATCTTCTTGCCCTTGTTAATCAGTTTTCTCTTCTCATTCCCCTTTTGTCTCCCACATAACCTGTATGTACATGCACTTCTAGTTTTGCCCCTAAAGCTACATATTTTTACAATTAGTTTAGGTTTCCTAAGACTCTCAGAGTTCTTTCCATTTGAGTTGCCAGTGGATGAGATGCTGACCACATGATCATTTTCCTCGGAACAGAATTCAAGTATACATGTCCCCTCTCTACTACCTTTAGTCTTCTTTGTTTCCATAGAAGTGGATAGTTGTTTCTCATTACATAACAAAATTACGAGTAATTTTTGGAACTCCAAGAGGGATACAGTAGAAGGAACTGGAAAGAAGGGAGCAAAAAAATCATGGTTAGGCACCTAGCCTGCCTCAGTAGATGAGTTGAGAACATTCATATGGTTTAATCATTTCAGTAATTCTGTAAGATTTAAACTTGATGTTTATGTGGAAACTGGATTCAGAGGGGTTCCATGATCTACCCATTGTTCCACAGCTTGTGAAAGAGCTAAGATCTGAACCTAATCTCTGTGACTCCAAATTTCATGAGGGGGTGTTGAGGTAGACTCTAGAATGTTGGACAGGATGGGCAGGGAAAGGGTGAAGAGAAGGCTTTAGCCTGATGCAAGATTCTTGGCATGCTTCTCTTTCCCTTATTCCTACCCCAAATGTAGACTATTTTGGCAAAATATAGATCCAGCCCTTTGTGGTATTTTGATGAGAGGGTCTTCTACTAATGGGACATCTCTCTTTTGTCTTTCACAGCAATTTTGCAGGCAGTAATAGCTGGTGATCTTATGAAGGTAAGCTATCTTCCTACCAAAATTTTTGGTGATTCTTTAACAACTTTAACCTCATTTCTCACCACATTTTCATGATCTCTCGTATGTCATCTATCATCCATCCCTCTGCGGTGCTAGCTGACTCGAAAGGGGAATGAAGTTCTTTGGGGAACTGGACAGAGAGGGCCAGAGGAGTCTTCATAGCATCTCCACATTTCCTAACAGCAAAGGATGTGTGCAGGGGTACTGCGCTGGTTTCCTCCACTCATAACATGGACTGCATGTTCCCAGGATGCAATGCTCACAGTGCCCCAAATTCCCGCTATCTAGGAGCTGATATTTGGAGTTTTAAGGTTTCTTTTTAGACAGGTCTTGAAATGAATGCATTATATGGATAATACCCAGAAATACACTCTCCGGGCCAGAGCCTCCAGCTTCTAACATTATTAGAGTTTTGTCCTTCAGGGATCACAATTAACCAAAAGAAGATGCTTGGTCTGATCTCCTTTGAACATTTTCATTTCTGCGTATATGTTCTTAGTTCAGAGGGAAGGAAGTAGTCACTGCTGCCTCTGGAGTGAATACAGATCTGGGAGTCAGACTGCCCGCGTTCAAATCTTGGCTCTGCCATTCATTGTATGTGTGACTGTATTTAATTCTCTCTGTGCCTCAGTTTCTTCATCTGTAAAACTGAATAATGTTGCCTCTATCCTTTGTCATGAGAATTGAACCTAACGATACACGTAAAGCTCTTAAGACTGTTTTTATTACATGGAAGCGACTCTGAAATGCCAGCTAGTAGTGTTAGTCTGTGTCTTTTTAATAAACATAGTGGAGATGCAAATATTGTTATAAAGTGTGTACAGTCTATAAGTATTCTAAAAGTTATATTTAGTTTCATGTCATTTTCAGGCATTGGGACTTAGGACGACCTGCGTATCCCTCTGTAACCCACACTGGCTTGATCTGCTCTGTAATATTGGCACCTGTGGGAGACAGAGGCTGTACCCGCCAGCCTGTGGAGAAGGGTGCCATTGCAGATTGAGAAACCAAGAGCCTTAAAAGAAAGCTGAGAAGCACTGACCTTGTGTGCAACTTCTTCTGAAGTGCATGTATTGAATGCATATAAACTGAGAACCCCCTGTGTGACAGTGTGAAGAGGTTACTAATAGGAAACAAACAGTCAGGAGGTCCCAAGCATCCTGATAAACTGCCGTCTTAGGCACATAATCCTGGAAGTGGTGCCTGTGCCACTGTCTGGGTCATAATGTTACCAGCCATTGTCACCCACAAGAGAATAGTGCTCTCCAAGTGGTGAACCTAGGAGTTTGATGCTGTTGCCCTGCAGTGGATTAAACCAATATTATCCTATACTCCCTGCAAAGCCTTATGCAAGATGCTTTGGGCAGTAAGATGTGATTCCTGCTCTAAAGAGCTTCTAAGCCACAAATTATTTGCAAAACTACTATATTTGAAATCCTTTTTTATTTTTCCTCTGCTTTTAGCCTAGGCAACATATTTTCCAGGTCCCTGGGTATATAGCCACATTTTTTCATACTTAATAGAGAACTATTTGAAATATGGGAAATTACTGTATTCAGTGGATTGTCTTATTACCTTCTCTGTTATAATCATTTCCTAAGTGCCTGAGAAGTTACTTACCCTTATTTATTGGGAGATGAAATATAATGACTTAGGGTGTTTCTTTCTCATTCTTTTACATTCTTTCCCTCCCAAGTATTTTTCTTCCCCTTTTCTTTCTTCTTCCCCATCTCTTCTATGTCTCTATTCCATGCAGAAAGCACAGTACACATTAACTATTAAACTGTGTGTATGTAAGAGAGAAAGTGCACACCAAATAGCAGAGAACAGAAGAACCCAGGAGTCGGTGTGAAGGCTGTTGGGAGTGGTTGCTGTGTAACTCGGCAGCATAAGATACCCATGGACTAACTGAAGGGCCACAGTGTCAAAAACACTACAGAAAGGCACAATCAAGGCAGCTGATGGATGGGCCTGTGCTTCTCTGTTGAGCCCGAATCCTTTGTGCCTCTGCCTACAAAGAAAGGGAGTATCATTGTAAGACTATCGTCGAGCAGTACTGGACATGTTTAGATTCTTTGTGGAAAACCATTAGCTACCTCTTGCTGTCCTGTAGCCTTGTAGGACTTTGTAGGACTTTAGAGATAAAAGTCCCCGTATGTTCTTTACATCCATTCAACTATTCCTTTTTGATCTATTTTCTGGAAAGTCTTCTGTGACTCTTCTTTACCCGTTAATAACCTCCTCATGTTGTTCTCCATTTCTGTGTCTGTCTTTGCACATCGGTCTCCCCCATGGACTGCGAGGTCTTGAGGCCAGTGACTGAGTCCTGTTTATACTTGTTTCCCTGGAATCTGGCACATGGCAGTTCCATGGTTGGATTTGACTGAAATCATGAATTATGAGTTGACTCTTTGACCTTATGAGATGTTTGATTTTATATATATATATAAAATGTGCCATCTAATTCTTTCTTGGTGATAGTTACATTCCTTTTGCTTGGTACCTTCTGGATTATTTTATTCTTATTTGTCCTAAAACTACCCTTTATAAGCTGCAGAAAGACTCTGTGTCCTGCTGTACTGCAGTTTGGAGAACAGAAACCCACTTACACTTTCTATAATGTTCAGTATTTCATGAAATTAGACCATATCCTCACTTCACCACATTATTCTCAGGCTACAAAATCTGTGGGGTTTTTTCTAGTCTGTTCTCACAGGTGTTTTAGGTGTCTACTACTACATTCCCTGAATCCTTTTGGTTCTCACCCTGTGGGTCATCTCTAGCCTTCTTGGGTATGGGTTGGGTGGTTAACAGAAGGCGAGAGGCTGGATGGCAGATCAGGGTGAAGAAGTGAGGCCGTGCAGATGTGTGCCCGTGTCTGCTATGTGCACGGGTGCTGTGACCTCCCGCAGGAAAATGGGAAGCAGCTTCTGGATTTGGTAGCTGGGTTCATTAGAGGTTGAAGAAAAACTGGGGGCAAGGAAAGGCGCTTAGCTACGGGACACCAAGCTATTCCTGTCTGCAGCCTTAATTATCCTTTCACTCAGGAGAGAGCTCAGCTAACAGAGGAAAACGTTTATTCTCTTCGCTGCCCTTCACTCCCTTGGGACAGAGACCAGTGCCCAGAAAAGAAAAAGACATAAAGCAGAAAAGAAATAAGTAACTCAGCATGTTTCAGTTTCCTTGGGCTGTTCAGTGCCCACAGACCCTCTCCCGAGTCAGGTGAGATGCTGGCCATCTATTTGAGTGATAACACAGACCGGGAATGTTACTTCCTCCCTTTGACTTTTCTGTGTCCTCTGCAGCTAGAAACGTTTGTGGTTTGCTTCATCACTCTTCTTTTTATCACCGGTTAACGGTTTTCCTTGTTCCGGACCCTGCCTGAGCTTCTTTTCCTATGTCTCTTTTGCAGCTAATAGAAAGCTATAAAAACGGAGGGAGTCTGCTAATTCAGGGACCAGACCACTGTTCACTCCTTCACCATGCAGCTAAAACCGGCAACGGGGAGATTGTGAAATATATCCTTGACCACGGTGAGTAGGTACAGTGAACCAAGGATCACTTCTCCATGCAATAATTGAATTTTCTAAATTGACTTTCTTCCAGGCTATGTTCAGAATGGTAGAGATGCTCTCCAAATTTTAGCTCACTCCCCCTGCTTATTGGAGGCAGACAGAATTGCAGACCACTGACACATGTCGGTCACCATAATCAAACATTTCATAGAAATAATTTTCATATCAAGGTCTTTGCAGGATATTTTTGAGCTAAGTAAAAAATAAAAGACAAAATCAAATGCCACCTGATGTAATATGCTGTATTGTTTTGTGAAGAGCGTTAAGTTGACTGGTTGGGACGAGGTACCAAATTCGTGTTGATAGCATGATAAGCATGTGTTTTTCTTCCCCCCAGCTTCCTGGCTTCTCTCCCTCTCTCTCTCTGTCTCTCTCTCTCTGTCTCTCTCTGTCTCTCTCTCTTGTTCCCTTTTTCCAGTTTGAATCTCATTCATCTATCAAATTAAGCCACATTTCATTCTCTTTGAAAACATCTGGTACTCGTGTGTCTTCTGTGGTTAGGTGATTTCGACATGTAGCATGTACGTTAGCATCTTCCCCTAATGGCCCTTTAAAGGCATAAACACATGAACGAACACCAAATCTTGACCATTACTTTCAGCTTCCCATGTTTATAGTGTCTCTAGGAATACTACATTTGATCTTAGCCAAAAGGCCGAGAAGCGATAGTGTCTCTAGGAATAAAGAACAGGAGTAAAGGGGAGAAAATCTGCCTGGCTTGGGTGTTTTTGAGGAAGCAGGAGTGGAGTAGCCTCTAGCTCTGCTAGGTATAGGTACACAGAGACCTTGGAAGATTTTCTGTGAGCCCCGGCAGTGACCCTGTGGCATCCAAATTCAGGCCATAAATAGTAAGCATATTAGTAGACATGCACATTTGCACGTTACTTTTTACTCCTCTTTTATTCAGTTCAACACACGTCTTACTCCTTTCAGTCATCCCACAGATGTTTGTGGAGTGCCTAACAGGAACTACCTGTTATAGAGCAGTGGACACACACACACACACACACACGCACACGCACGCACGTGCACGATACAGTCACTAGTTTCAGGCAATTTCCGGTGAAAAAATATAATCATATGCAGAATGAAATTGAAAACAGTTCTATATAGATGGTTTAAGTCCTATTGTAAAGCCACAGGTAGATAACACAGCTGCCATTTGTCACACACTTCTCATATTTCAGATGCTTCTACTAAACATATCCTATGTCGGGATGTGTCACATCGATTGTCAGTTACATTTCACACACCTTGTTTTGTCCTCAGTTCCTCCTCACCATGAAGAGTTTCCTTGAAACCTTGGCCCGAGTGATGGTGGAAAGAATGGCTTAGGGAAAAGAAAAGGTGTTTGAAGTCGGATGATGGTTATTAGAGCATTTCTTGCCCCCTGCACGCTGGGCCTGACAGTCCCAAGCCAGTGTACTTTGGAAAGCCTGGGTGGTTGGCTGTATTCTTGGTACCGTGTCTGCGGTGTGCGTCTTTTCATCTCCTGTCCCCCTGCCCATTCTACCGCCTGCAATGAAAGCGTTTCTCTTTGGGCAAGACTTACAAAGCAATGGCGGCATGATCTCTGCTTGCCTCCTTCACACGCACACACACACGCACGCACACACACTCAAAATCATAGGTATTTTCTCTTCCCCGTAGTGACTTCTCCCAAAGCTAGCGAGAGGCAAAAGCAAATGTTAGAACCCGGCCCCACGGGCAATGAAGCACAGAGCTTCTGTGATTATTTTTGTCTTAATAGAAAAGAGCTCAGGTTTCTATTGCACAAAATGCAGATGTGCTTTAGATATACAGACTGTCAGTTTGTCTTTAGCTCAAGTGAAGGTGCTCCTGGTTGCTGTCTTCTTGACCATTCTCAATCCTTTCTTACTCGTTTGTCCTTTACCCAATGGGATTGAATGCTTGCTCACATATCTTAAGCTGTTCAATACCCACATCTCCTCTCTGGAGTTAGGTGTGAGACTGGCCATCTGTTTGAATGCTAACACAATTTAGGGTCTCTGTCTCTCTCTCTTCCTCTACCTCTCCTGAAGAGCTAGAATTCCATCTCCACATCCCCCTCGCCCCCGCCACGGGTTCTGGAAACCTCTATCAGTTACCTGTTGGTATCTCACTTGGTCTCACTCAAGAGGCTGCAGGGAACCACACTTGTGACTGAGTCTGTATTGAAGAGGGACTCCCCAACATGTTTGGGGCTCTCAGCTGAGATGGCTGGGATGCCCGGGACACCTGGAGCCTTTCTCTATACCTATCCTTGTATCCCAGGCTTCTTCATGGCATGACAGTCCTAGGGCTCCAGGAAGATGGAAGCTTCCAGACGTTCTGTGGGCAGGCTGGAAAGTTCTGCATCATCTCTATAGTATTCCGTCCGCTCAAACGGTCACAGGGCTGGCCCTGACTCATGGAGGGGGGAAATGGCCCCCACTGCTCTGTGAGAGGAGCTGCAAATAATTTTTGGCCAGATTTAACCTACCACCTTCCTAACTCTATCTTCTTCAGTTGAAAATGGTGAGCCTACCTTCTCAGTGTCCTGAACTACTGTGTCACCCAGAATCCCCTTGGCCTCTGCTTTCATATGTTCCTTTGGTTCTCAGTCCTAAGGTTGACTAGCAACAATAATTCTTTGAATTTGCAAGTTCTTTAACAACAGTTTCCCCTCTTTTTAGCATAAGCATGACCCATGTAATATTTGGGACATACTTATACCAAAAACAAAAACAAAGCCCCTCTCCTCCGTTGATGTCCCCAGGGGCATGAGATGATATTGGTCTAGACCCATGGATTTTCACTCCCCCACTACTTTTTCCACTGCCTTAAATAAGAGGGCCTCTAAAAGCTTGCTGTTTCTAACCCCATCTGTGGACTGGTGCACGCCTACTTTGCCTGATGTGAAATCAAGCTGGTACTTTCGTTAGTCTCTTCATGCTGTAACCAAAGCCTGACACCCCAGTATTCAACTTGTGTCTCTTCCACCCCCAGCACCTCTTGCAAAGCATGAGTCACACAATACAGCTCTCTCTGTCAAAATGGAAGGACACAAAGCAAAATTAACATAATTTTGGGGGAGGGGGTGTTTATTTTTCCAGGATTTTTTTTGGTTTGATTTTAATAATATGTTTAATAACTATGATAATGAGGGAAAAAAAACCCTTGAGATTCCAAACATCTCTACTTGCCTCATGGGCAAGCCATTCCCAAGGTCACAGGAGGCATCTGATACCCTCCCCGCCTCACCAGGATCTCTCATTGGCCGGTACATACCTTAGAGTGAGACTGGAGATACGAAGCACAATCCATCTTTCTGTTGGGAAATAAAATCTCATTATGCTCTCTAGTCCCAGAATCACTGCAATTTTGAAGGATGGTGATTTTTAACCTTTTAGTACCATAGCCAAATAATAGGAACTAAATTGCAGTTGATTTTTATTGAAATTAGTACTAGCCAACCTGATAGGCCTCATCAACTCCATCTCCCTAACACTGATCTCATTATTTCTCTTTATTCAGGAATACACATGCGAAATCTTTTGGCATAGCCAGTCTAATCCAGCAGGTTCTTAAGAGCTAAGCGCTTCAGCTCAACTGTCTTTATTGTTGCTGTTTGTTTTCGTATCTTTAGGTGCTGATATAATTTCATTAGCCTGTGCATTTTGAAAAACGCATCTCTTTTAAGTTATAGAAACCCCTGTAAATTATAGTGTTCTTGAAGTCAAGGACAAGCACACGGGAAACATGACCCTTTCTCTTCTCTGTACCCATTACCTTAGTGTGATCTCTGTTCAGTGAAATAGTCTCTCCTAATTTAACATGATGATGGCTCTAGAATCCCCTTGGTCTGACAAGGAAAATAGCCTTTTCTAAGAGAATTTAGTGAGGCTGGGGTTCAGGATGTGTATCAGACTGTGGCATTATGTTTATAAGCTAGCATCAGTTTTGTGGTAGACAGGTCTGATCAGTATGAATTCATGTAAATGGGGAAAAAAGTGGAAATTTTACACTGCACCAGAGTTGGAGAGGGACATTCCTCCTCATCTCTCGAATGCTGCAGATCTTTTGAAGTTTTAGTTTTTTGTTTTTTGGTTTTTTTTAATTTGGTTTAAGTCTTTCCTGTGACTTCATATGCCATAAATCCTAAAACCTGTTCGAAGACCTGACTGTAAAGATGTGCTAATGACAGGGCTCTGGAGAAATCGGTAGGCACTTTGCAAGTTGCCTGAGAGCATACTGGCTGGTTTTCTGTCCTGCATCCTTGCTCAGGTGGGAGCCCCTCTCGCCTCTGCTTTGCCCACCTCTTCGCTGGTTATTTGTGGTGAGCAGTGGGGTCCACAGTCGGGAGGGCGCCCCCTGAGCAGGAGTCATGAGAGATTAGCTGTTCCCCCAGACACCACAGTAAACAACACATTTCTGTCCTAAGTGTTCTCTGGAAACCGGGCTGTGGGGCTAGGGGCAGGAGATGTGTGGTGAGTTCTGAAAAGCCACAGGAGGCTGGAATTGTTTTCTGTCCTCCTCCTTCTTTGGGACCTTTTCTCTCAAATACACAACCTGCTGATTTCCTTTCTGAAAAACTGGAATTTGGGCATTTGGAGGGTTGCAGAGAGAATGGAAGAGGAAGACAGAGAGCAATCCCACAGGGCCAGGGTGGAGAGGGAAGGACGCGAGGGGCTCCATTCCCGGGCCCCCAGTGGCTCCCGCTTTTCAGCTCCTTTCAACCATATTTTCTCCCCACTCCTTCCTCCCTCCTTGAACCCCTCGGAGGGACTTTTGTGTTGTTTTAGGCTTTTACCACCCCGCACATCTCGCCCCTTTGTTTTTATCCCCCCCCACTCCCACCCCTCTGCCCCCCTACTGCGCGTCCTGATAGAAATCTCACTCATGCATTTCCTTTTTGATTTCAATGGCTTATTTTGTCTTCTCTCCTTTTCTGTCTTCAGTCTTTCTTTTCTTTTCTT